CTTTTCCTCTACAAATTTTTGCTGATCTCAGCTCTCTCACACGCGGCAACCGCCTCAACTGACGGAATATACCAAATAAAGATAATCGATGTATCTCTAACGCTAAGGAAATCCTTTGCATAACCAAGTTTTACTGTGGAAAAAAGGCTTGTTGATGTAAGCCGGTCAACAACTTGGCGCAGGGAAGGCAGTTACTGAAGCATCTCTCAACGCATCACCACAAGCAGAGGCAGCTAGCGCTCTCAGCAAGAAAATGACAACGCTGAAATGCATCCGCTTGAGCTTCGTTGAGCTGCGACCAAGCAGCGAAAATGGAAATGTCAATTTATGTCACGGTGTCGGTGCAAGTTGTCAAAGGTGCACAGAGGTAAGGGCGACATGAATGGGCAGCAGGGCTTACAACCGCCAAAAATGGGTGGCTAATAGTTAAGCAGGAGTTTTATCACACATCAGCCATCGCGCTGACATTCATCTGAAATAGTCAAGACCAAATATTATCTTTTAAAATAGCATATTCGCTGGGATAACTAACACGAACATATGACACATTCTTCGAATTCGCCGGCGCGATTAGTCATCTGCACAATTGAGTAAAAGCAGACCGCTCCGTTTCTTGGAGTGTGGGATGTCGTTTTTGCATTAGAAGCATTTAGCTTGCACGGATCATGTTTTATATCTAGCACTGCTGTCCATTTTTGATTTTTAAATTCCTCAAATTAATCGCCATCTTGGAGTAAGTCAGTCTATTTAAAAGTTAATAAGCGTAAACTGAAAGCTGATATGCGTATTTGGATCGACTTTCATCAGTCATAGTGAGATGACTGTGTGATATTCATTAAACGTGTGGCTTTTTAATTTCCTCGTTAGGGGAATCACTGCTGAGGTGAACCCCTCGCAGCAGTGCTGTTCAGCGGCAGCCTATCGGCGAAACACGTGTCTGGACTTTTAGCTAGTATCTGTGTTGTTAATATAGCGTATCATGTAACGGGCTTAATTTTTACATGGCAGGTTGTTGAAAAAACGGCCGTCGGTCTCAAGGCGTCTTCCTGCTCCCCGCGCCCTTG